CCGTCACCTTGGCGGCGTCTCGCGGCGCTCCCTCCTCCGCCTCGCCCCCCTCGGCCCGAGCCGTGCGTGGCTCCGTGCGTGCTGCAGTGCTGCTCTCTGCCGTCCTCGCCCCGCGCCGGGGCCGCGCTGCTTCCCGGCAGGGCTCTGCACCTCGGCGCGCGGAGGAGGCGGCTCCCGCGGCCCCGCTGTGCTGCGGTAACGCTCTCATGTTAGGCCTTGGTTCTGGGATAGCATCACCAGCCTGAGTCTTGCCAACTCTGTGGGTCTTGCCCTTTGCTTCCCCTTCTTGCGCCAGTGACAACCCGAGCTTCTCATTCTCCCCTGTAACATGGCCGAAGTTGCAAGCATCTCTCATTCTGCAGATCTGGATAGCCTGGCAGCCCTTTGGTGAGCTTCTCTTATTTCACATGTGAGCTGAAGATGGTCTCCTCTGGCGTTTGCTCCCCTTAATCCTGGACGGGTGAGGTAAAGGTCATTGTGGTTCCAGAGTGGGTGCATGGGAGCATCTTCTACCATGAGCATTTTAACTTACCTCGTTAGCTGAGTAACACTCAGGATGTTGAGCACTGTGCCAAGCACTGCTGCAGGACAGAAAGAAGGGCCTATGGGTTGAGAAAAGATGAGGTTATAGCTCTGTCTAAAGCTAGACAGATTGACTGCAGCCTTGCGAGGTTTTTGACTGTAGCTTTCCATTTCTCTCAATATATCCTAGGCATTTCAAACTCCATGTAAAAGTGTGCTGCTTTATTACAACAGGAGGTGTAAAGATGCTAAAGCCGATTTTCAGATCCTGAGATCAAGGTAAATTATTCTGTGCTTAGCTCAGTGCTTGTGCAAGCAGACCGCTTCCTGTACTTAAGCTTAATAAAGCTTCACTGCTACCCGAGGTATCTCTTTTCTTTTTTTTTTTTTTCCTTTTTTTTTCTTTTATTGTCAGATTTAATTAGGGAGTGCTAGCAGAGTAAGGTCAGTGACCAATTTAGCAGAAACTCTGCAGTGCAGGCCGCACTATCCTACTCAGCTGTATGTAGCCGACCTAAAATGAAGTGCTATCAAGCAATCCCTGGAAGTAGCCTAGTTGTCTTAACATGGCTTGGTGAGTAGTTAAAGGGTTTGTCAACTTCCTTTCTCAGCCAAGAAGGTGTTACTGACAAACCGGTACCGCCTTTGCTTCTGCAGTTAATTTGTGATTAGCAAGGCATTCTGTTTTCATTGTGAATGTAAGTATGCCTGCAGGCAGTGCCTGCCTCCGGAAGGCTTTTTCATTCTTTAAGAAACATCCTTCTCCTGAGCTTCTTCTGAAATCTCTTAAATTTGGGATTAAGAAGTGTAATCCTTTAGGTGTTCTTACAGTGTTCTGATTGGCAAATGTGGGCTCATGTATGTAATTATGGTCTGTATCACATTAATTTTTTTTGTGGGTAGATGAAAATATCTTCTGTGATGGCTAACTTACTGGAGAGAGGAAGCAGAAAGAGCTGACGTTTCAATGCACTCATCCACTGGTGTCCTTACAGACGAAATGTTTGTCTGTATGGAATTGAGATTTCAAATTATACATCTATTGTCCCATTGAAAGGGTGGCTTGCAATACTGAAAATATGCTGAACAAACAAGCATCTTAACATGTAGTTTTGGACTTCTCTTTTTTTTTTTTTTTGTAGCAATTGTGACACTGAGTAATGTCATTTCTTTTGGGAGGATCAAACAAATGAAGAATTTCATTCCAGTCCAAGGAGCATGTAAAAAGACTTAACATATGAGGTTAATGTATATCTCTCTGATGAAATATCAGAAGAAAGCCACTGATCCTGGCTTTGCTTGGTTGGTAGCAGCCAGGGAGATGGATGCAGTAGCTTCCATAGACTGTGGTGCTGGCCATTGTTATTCAGGTGGGTGTTAGCTCTGTTGGATGATGCAGCTTGACTGCGCACAAGATGGTCCCCTGTACTAGTCATGTGCTTGCAGTATATGGTGCCTTCAGCTTCTCTCAAAAACAGCCAAAAATGCAACAGCTTGATTAGAAAGAACTGTGTGTTGTGGCCTGGGGCTCAGCCAATTCAGATTTTACAGGATTAGACAAAGTAGTTCCTAAAGTCAAGGGATTCACTTAGATTTTAATAATGCTGCTTTTCTAGCATGTGTTCTTGATGGAGGATGGTCTGATCACTTACCTTACATGTCATGAAAAAGAAGAGATAGGTTCAGTCGATTGGGACTTGCAATTGCTTTTTTTTTGCCTTTTTTTTTTCCCTCATTTTAGCCATCGCACATTTTACATTACTGTGGGATATAAACCAGACTTTGCAGGGCTGTATTAGTTACAGATTCCCGGCTTGTGCCAGTCAGGCTGTCAGTGGCAGCTTAGCTTTTTAAGCTTTACTTGACATGTGGTTGCTGAGAGAATATGGTATGGTATTGTGAACTGAAAGTTACTGTTATGGATCACATTAGCAAGCACACCCTTGAAGCATTTTTTTCTATCTAGAATCAGTGGGAAATGCCGTTCAAAAGTATTGTTGGTTCTTGACCTTTTGCCAACCCCAGACTTACCTTTGATTATCTGCATTCAGGATAAATCTGTCCAAGCTGGGAAAAGCTGCTCCCTCCTTGCTTTCTTTTTACTTCCTCTAGGCTCCTGTGATACGGGAATCAACACAATGTCCCTTCAGTGTTTTTCTTTGTGTGATTACTATATGAGCAGCATCTGTCTGATCTATGGGCAGCATCCTTCTGATCTTCAGGAGTACTTTGCCGAATTTTATTTTCAGTTAGAATGATATTGTCAGAACTAGCAATTGACTAGGATGCAAGTTGCAACCTGGAATGACTGCACTGAGGTAGTCCCTGTGGCTCAGTGTCCCTGTGTCTTAGACCTTAATGTCCCTGTGGCTTTAGTCATGGAAGAATTGTTGTAGCTTTTGAATTCAAAGGATGAAACTTGCATGTCAATAAAAAAAAAAAATCTGTGTAATAGTTTCTTAACAAAACAGATTCTAAAGTTTGTATCTTCCTCCCAGACTCTTAACATTTGTTATATTCCATGCCTTGATAGAGATTAACTTTCAGTTCAGATTATGCTTTCTTGAGCCACGTTCAGAATATTGCTGAGTATTTTAAAGCTGTGGATTTTTTTTTTTTTTTGAGCTAGAGCTGGTGAGACACTTGGACGGTTTAGATCTATTTTGTAACACTGTAGAAGTAGACTTGAACTAATCGTTTGTGCCAGAATTGATTACCTTGTACCCAAGTTTGAACATGTAGCTCTCCTTGGATATCCCCCATCTTGGATAACTTGCTCTTCAAAGCCTTTTCGCAGGTGTCTGGTCACACATTTGTTTCTACAGGTTCAGGGAAATAATAGCCTAGATATGTTTTGGAAAGCAGTTTTCTCTAGTGTTAGTACTGGTTATCAAGGAAAATATGTGCCTGTGAACATTCTGACTAGCTGACACTTAGCATTTAGTGGCCCTCAGTTACTTCTTATCAGACCAGGTTCCCCTGCCTTCCTGTTTCCATGGAGAATGCCTGTTAGTTGCTCTTTTCTCTGAGAAAGTGACAAACGCAGTTGAATAAACCAGAACTTTTATTTGTAAAGATGACTACAAGCTGGAGAGATTCACGCAATTAATTCAGCATGGACTTGAGAAACTGTTGCTGCTGTTAATTCCAGAGTGCTCCAGGACAATTCTCCCAACATCAGCTATGTCTGCTTCTCTTAGTTTTTACAGTTTCATTTACTTGCAGGGGCTGACTTCTTCCTTTATTTGTCACGGCTGGCGTTTATTATTCCAAGCCATTGAAAGATGTTGTTTGCAGAGCTGAACAAAAGTTCGTAGGAATCGAGCAGAGTGTAATTCTCATGTTGTCACTAAGTTAATTTACTGTTACTGTTCTTTCAGTACAGCCCTGCTGTTGCACTTGGTGTTGCTCCTTGGAAGGAAATATGCTGTCTGTTTTTGTTCATTTGCTTATCTTTGCCTGCAAAAAAAACAAAACAAAACAACCAAAAAAAATAGGAGTCTCCTTCCTGCAGTAACTTTTTCTTTGTTTTGGTGTTTTGGAAAGGAGTGAGCAGGGAAATGAAACTCAAGTTTTTCAAGATAGGAGTTTGGTGGTTTGAGGTGTGATAGGCTTGTCCTGTCCTGCCTGAAGGCTTAGGTTTTTCTTAAATTGTTACAAATTCGAGTAGTGCAAATTGAAGTTACAGAGAGTAACACACTGGTGCATGATCCTTTAGTCTGAGAGTCCAGTCGCTCGGTTGTCCCTTAGCTGAACCTTGTCTGGAAAAGACACCATTTACACTTCTCCTTGGGTCTTCAAGCTTGTTAGGCTATTATGGAAAATGCTGAGCAGCTGCCAGTTTTCCTTGGGAATGCAGTGCCAATGCAATCTGCCTTCCTGGATGCACAAGCAGGAAGAGGATATTGGAATTGCACAGATTAAGCAGTACGTCAGCTTGATGCGGCCAGAATTACCTGTGCCCCAAGGAACAAGTGCACGAGCGCTCGTGTTGACTGAGGGCTTTTATTAGTGTATGTGATTCAGGACGGGGATGTTCTTCAACACGATTGTTGCACTGTAAAGAAACTAGAAGTTAATTTTTCTTCCTTAGTGTTTGCCCTCCCAAATTCAATTCCTGAGTGTGCTCTAGTGCCTTGAGCAATAAGGTCTCATTAAGTCACTTTCCCAGTGGCTCAGGTTGATCTGATAGTGCGGTTCATTTATTCAGGTGAGAAAAGTGCTCAACTTCTTCTTTCTTATCTGTTTTTCCTTGATTCTTGAGTGTGCAGCTATGAAAACTTGAAAAATATCTTTGAAGAAATGCATATATTTATGGGGCTTGCATTTGCTGTCTGACAAATCATGGAGATAGGATTCTTCTTAAGTTTGGCATACTTAAACTCCTGATGAGATGCTGTGGATTTAAATTTTAATATCAGTTGTGTGTTCACTTCCAAAACAAGGAAGTGGAATAAGGAGATGCATTACTAATTGGGACACATGGAATTTTAAAAATCGTTCTAAAACCTGATTTCACAGCACCCATGCTAATATAAAGGAGTACCTACATTTTTATTTTATTGCCTTTGAATGACTTGGAGACCTAAGCAGATCATTAGGCTGCTGCTGCTTTTATGCAGATCTCTGAAGAGATGATGAGGCAGGAAATAATACTGAGAGAGCTGAAGAATTGTACAGAGGCATCCTGTAAAATAGTGCAGTTCTGTGATGTAAATCAATAGTGCTGTCCCTTGAAATATGGGCAGAGGCAGGACTATGCTCATCTGTTTTAGCATGAAAGCCAACTGCTGTTTCAAGTGGTTAGGAAAGAAATTTGCTGTGTGTGATTATCCCATACTTGCCTTTCTCAAATTTTCTGAAATGTTTCAGAGGCTTTAGCTGAAACAACACAGTGTCCAATGAAGAAAAGATCTAATGTGATACAGATCTGATGCAGTGTAATGACTTGTCACCGATTGTTATGTTTTGTACCCAAAGGCATTTTCAGTGTTCTTTGTGGTATGCCAGCAATTTGTTAACATATGTACTTTGCTTAATGCTGTATTCATAAGAACGTGTGCTGGCTCTGATCTGCTTTTCAGTAAGTTCTGCAAAAAACGTCTTTTGTTAAGAAGCTCTGTCCTTGTGTGTTTGCACAAGTACTTAGAGTGATTACTGTATCATCAACTTTGTGTTCATCACCTGCTGTGAGAGGGAGGAACAAAAATGAATAATCTGTAGAAACAGAGGTCCTCTTCCTTCTGGAATTGCTATCTAAGTGCAACTCTCACACACATGCCTTTGCAGGACTGTGAGTCCTGTTAGGAAGCTTCCCAAATCTCCGCTCTCTCTCTTCCGCTCTCTCTCTTCCTCTCTCTTTTTGTCTTGGGAGTTTCTTGTTGATGCAGGATCTGACGTGTAGGTAATGCTGTTTGTATCTTTTAATTTGACTACAGGTTTCTGTTGAGCTGAAGTAAACCTCTAAATTTTGCTTTATGTGCTCTTCCTTCTGGCTATCTGTAATTGGGAGCCATCCTTGATATTGCCCTTTAGCTTGGATTGCTTCGTAGAGGTTGTTTTGATAAGAAAACATAGCATATTTTAGGGTTATCTTTAAGCCTGAAATTTCTATTTTTGACCTGATCTCCTGCTGCTTTGCCTCTAGGTTAATTTTTTGAAGCAGAGAAAGCAGAAAAAGTCTTCTGTAGACAACTGGCCCCAAAAAGCTGGTTGATCTTTGAAGGCAATGTTTTCAAAGCACAGCTGCAGTTTAGAGATGCAGAAAGTCAAACAAGTGCTGCAGAAGACTGTTATGACTGAACAGGGAGTCCCTGTCCAAGCTCAAACAGTGAAGGACAGGAAAGGGTCTGGGAACAGCCTGCATGGATTTACTGAGGGCAGGTTATGTTTGATGAACTGGTTTGCCTTCTGTAATAAGATGAATGGCTGAGGGGGTGAGGATAGAGCAACAGACAGGCTTTTTGTTGATTTTAGTAAGGCCTTGGAAATAGTTTTCGGTGTTACCCTTGTAGCCAAATGGAGTAGATTGCCCATGAGGTGAGCACAGAAGTTTGTGATTGGTGTCTGGTCAGTGGTATGAATTCCAGCTGGCAACTGGCTGCCAGGAGAATGGTCCATACTCAGAGGAATAGGCTGGGAAAATGGGCTGACAGGAAGATCGTGAAGTTCAGTAAAGGCCAATTGCCAAATTCTGCATCTGCATGGAATAACTCCTTGAAACAGTAAAGTCTGGGAACCAGCCAGGTAAGAAGCAGCTTTGCCGAAGACAACTTTGGAGGCCTTGGTGGAAAAGTTGGCCTTGAGTCAGCAGTGGGTATTTAGATGTTACCCTTTTGAAGCAGATCTGCATTAAGATAAGTGACGGTAACTGGCTTTCTACTTAATCAAGTGTATTCCTCTTTATTTTGTAATAGTGTTTAACTTGGATTTTAAGTGTTCATCAGTTCATAACTAAAAGGTTAAGTAAATTGTTCTATACATTTTAACAATATTATTTGCAAAGAAAGTACCTGTTCTGCAGGAAGTTTAACAAGAATTAGTTACTCAAAGTGGGAGGAGAATTCACGTGCCTTGTTGGTGTAGTTCTGTGCCTGTACAATTCCTGTTACTATAATTCTTTAAATTGTAGAATTGTTATGTTCTTCCCTTTATGAGGAATGTATAGAATATATTGAATATATAGATTTGTCTTTTAACTAATGTAAATATTTTTAATTACAGCATTTGACACTGTGTACCAAAGAAATGGTGATGGAGAAGCCAAGTCCCCTGCTTGTAGGGCGGGAGTTTGTGAGGCAGTACTACACTCTGCTAAATAAAGCTCCTGATTTCTTGCACAGGTAATGTTTTCATGCAAAAGTGACTTATATTCTTGAAAAAAGTGCATCCTGCTCACCAAAAATTAGATAAACTTAACTTTTGAGTGTGTCAGAATGATGTTGTGACCAACTTTGTGCTTTAGGAGGCTATTTCAACTTACTGAAAATGAGTTAAGTTCTAGAAATGAGTCTGATCATATCTTTGGGATGTATTGCATGCTATGAAGTTATTTCCTGTGCAGAAAAGTGAACTGTTTTTCAGGTCATAAAATAGTAACATTGACAGAAATAGTGTTCAAAATAGATTTAGAACAGAATACCGTTGCAGAGGAATCACATGTAGAACCTAAGGCAAGCATGCCGACTGTTTCAGGATACCATATTTTGCATTGCCTCTGAAATGTTTTATCCAAATCACAGTTGGATATTTCAGTAGAAATGTCAAGAATTGGATGAGGTAGGTGGAAAATGAAGTGGTCTTATTCATCTGCAGCTATGATTTAAGTTGTATTCCAAAAGCGTTCCTTTTTTGATTTTGATTGGCTACAGCTTATCACTTAAGATTTTGCATTTCCACATTTGGACCTCAGAGGAGCACAAACTTAATATAAGTGAAGATGGACATAGCTTTGCCAATGTTCAAAGAAGCAATTACTTATGTGAGTTGCTCTTTCTCAGGCCTTGGCACAAGGCTAAGGGTGAAAAATTGGACTGTTTGATTGATAACAAGCTAGAGCTCTCAAAACAGCTTGCTTGCAGATTGAGCTTTTGAAGCATGCCTCTTTTCATCTGTAGCATTGAGGCACAGAAAAACGAATGGTATTGGTTTTAGTTAAACAACAAATTGTTTTGTCTGCAGTCAAACTGAATGTCAGGGTACATTACCCATACCTTCTGCTGGGTGTTGCAAGTAGTCTTTGATTTTGCTTAAGAAAGAGCGTTTACCTGTAGTAACAGCAATTGTAACCTTGGCAAGATATGTTTTGTTTTGTTTAAAAAGCAGAATGCTATTAATATATATTTCCTACCTGGCTGCTTGAGTCAGTGAAGGGCAGCTAGCTATGCCAAGTTTGTTTTCCACCCTCCTTCCCTTAGTGTTGCAGTATTACTTCCCCATTTCATCAATATTAACATGCACCATGGATGCATTAAAGAACTAGTGTTTCTGGTACATGTGGGATGCAGGCTGATTTTTCCAGGTTGGAGAGATACCCAGTGGTATATCACAGAAACACACATGTTAAAAAAGGTAACTGTGAAGGCATTTACCATGTTGAAGACAACTTTGGTGCCTTTAAAGAGATCCTAGATGCTACCCACACACATCTAAGTCTCCAGCTTCTTTGGAACAACTGTGAAATGTATTTTACAAAATTATGCTCTATGCTTGCTGTGTTGAGTGGTAGTGGGAAGTATCCATAGAGTATTCCTTACTGGGGGAAGCGAGTTTTCAGTACAGACTCTTGATCAAAAGTATTAGATGCTTTTTGTTTGTTTTCAAGCATATTTTTAGGGAAATGAAGGGAGGGATGCTGTTGATGACTGATTAACTGCTTTCCAGGTTGGCCCTGCTTCAGGTTGGGGAAATCTGGGTTGACAATTGTCAGGCAAGCTCTTCTAACACAGCTGATAACCTGTACTTGAGGAATGACTTTGGGCAGCTTGTTTCCTAAAAGTGTTAGCTTGCTCTCCCACTCAGAACTCTTAAGGACAGCATAACCATGGGAAATGATAGGACTGCCTAACAGTGGTCAACTGCATTCACTTGAAATGTTGCACAAGTGTCACTAACAAGAACATCTTCAATACAGAGCTGTCCTATGGGCTGTTTTGATCTGGTTTCTTTGAACAAGCTGTCAAGATCATAACTGATTCTTGAGCTAGATATGGGGAACTTATTCTAGCTGGTTTTAGACTCACTCTTTCGTTACTGCTGTTGCATAGCTGGCTGTTTGTTCCTCCTGAGAGTCAGATGTGGAAGATGGGTGTTTGTTTCTTCTTTTGTTTCTTCTTAAAAGCAAAAAGATTTTGCTTTTAAGGGCTTGACAGCTTTGGGCTAAAGCCCTTGTTGGGTATGGTTTTGCTTGATTCTTTTTTTCAAGGCTATAAACTTCACATCTCTCTACTTTTGCAGGTTTTATGGCAGGAACTCTTCCTATGTCCATGGAGGACTGGATGCCAGTGGAAAACCACAAGAAGCTGTGTATGGTCAAGCTGTGAGTATCAAAATTAGTGGTGTAGTCTTCAGTCATGTTCAGAAGTTATTGTATGTGTCATTATGCATCTGGAGCGTAGAACGTACCTCTAGGGCAGGAAGCAAAGCATTTGTTAAACTGGCATCTTGATGGATCTGATTTCAGTTAGAAATGATTTTTTGGGAAGGCACTGTGGTCACTGAGGCTTGTATTGAGTTATGCATGTTAGACTTCCACCCACAGAAGAATTTGATATTAGGAGAATTTATCTTTTAAAATAACTTTTGAAGAAGCGGTGTTACTTCAGAACTCTTGGCCTTTATATATATATGTATGTGTGTGCGTGTGTATGTATACTTTTAAATATATTCTTTGTGTATATACATAAACAGAGATGAATCCTCCCTCTCTTCAGCAAGCCCCTTAAAAGTCTTAAAATACATAGTAGTGCAGCTGGAATATTGGATAGCAAGTGGTAATGTATTTGACTCCCCTTATAAGTATTTTAAGAGTGCAGAAGAATTATTTTAGCCCAGATTCTAGGTGGAAGACAAGATTTCGTTCCTGTGTTTGCTTTCTAAGCTTGAGCAGAGTGGTTTTTTGCAATAGTTCAGGCTCAGGTTTTGAAAAGTTTGAAAGCTCTGTACAGAATTCAATGTAGCTAAAATGTAATTCTTCATTTCTAGGAGATACACAAAAAAGTGATGTCCTTACAGTTCAGTGAATGTCACACCAAGATTCGTCATGTGGATGCGCACGCTACTTTGAGCGATGGGGTGGTTGTGCAGGTGATGGGAGAGCTGTCCAACAACGGGCAGCCCATGAGGAAGTTCATGCAGACTTTCGTACTTGCTCCAGAAGTAAGTGTATCTAAGGGGGTGTTTGACTGCAAGGAGTGAGGATGCAAGCCTGGCCTGTAGCTCTGATCCGTCTGGGCTGCAAGATACTCTCTGGCCTTTAGCCGTTGACCAGAAGGCTATGATTGTATGTGCCATAGTTCATGCATGCAAAAGAATGAGCGTATTGCATCTGTCTCAGGTTGTTACATTTTCTTAGACTTGAGGTGTCCAAAGCAAATGGGAACCTGTGTTTAGGAGCTGTCTGCACGGCCAGCCCTGTAAATGAGTACTCTAATATTCTATCCTTTCTTCAATCTGCCAACAAATACATGTATTGGTTAATGCAGTGCAAGTCACTTTGCAAATTCAGTACTTGGCAAGAGTGGAGCCATGTTATGGTAAAGGGTTTCTTCTATTCTTACTATATCTTCCCCCATTTCATTAAAAACTATTGGGTTGTTCATTATTAATGCATTAGAGCTTTATTGAATATCTTCTTTGTTTTTCTTCAGGCAGTAGTATGAGTGTACAGCCATCCTGTGAACACTCACTGTGTTTTTTATTATTTTTTTCATTAGAAAAGATTCACGGGCAGCTTGATGAAACTAATAGGACTTAATGTTTAGTTAGACCTTATGATTACCATGCTTTAGCAAAAGCTGTATTACTGTGCTAGAAATTTTTCATCTTTCTCCTGGATTGAAGTGGCTGTTCAATTGCTTCCTTAAAGAACATATACCACTTGAAAAAGGATATTAAGAAGTAGTGCTATTCCAAAATTTAGGTGTCCAAGGTTTATAGCTCTAACCTGTCCATATTGATAACTGCTAATATATAATACTACAACATATATCATGAAAAAAATGTGTATGTTCCTCTTTTACAGGGATCCGTACCAAACAAATTCTATGTCCATAATGATATCTTCAGATATGAAGATGAAGTATTTGGAGATTCAGAAGGAGAGCTTGATGAAGGTGAGAAGAATTGTGCTTCTGCCACAATTCATTCTTAGAGCTTGCCTTGTACTTGTTCCTTCACCATAGGCATAGTTTTTCTGCAAGAGTCTAGAGGATTTGGAAAGGTAAAAACTATACTGTGTTATCATGAAGTGTAGTAATCTGAAAGCTTGGAGAGAGAGTCTAGGTTATGTTGTTGTGACTATCTGCTGGTCCAGACCACTCGTTGTAGCGTCTTGTTCTCCAGAAGACTAAACTGGTTTCGCCTGATAACAAAGGGCAGCAAAGTGAGCAGTTGCACTTTTTCTGCAGTTGAGTTTCTTTAGGTAGAGTTCATTTCTCTTGTCAGCTGGATTTGTAAGTGAAGTGATTTGAATAAAATCTAACTGGCTTTTTTGGATATAAGATGTAATTTGCTTTCATATCATCACCACCCTCAGTGGTTCATTTCTGTTCACAAGCTGAACTCGGGTTTGTTCTCAGGCTTTTTTTTTTTTTCCTGTTCATTGAGCCAGAGCAAATCGAAGAAGAGTAAAGATAGAACGTGTGTTCATGGGTTACTGCTGGAATTTCCATCATTTTATTTGTGGAACAAAGTATCTCGAGCCATCATTCTCCCTGCATTTGAGGTTAACCTTCTTAGTTTTAGGTACTGTGATTTATGAGCAGGGGATTTAAACTTTCTTTACTACTGCCAACATATGGAAAGCATCTGATGCTTAAAAAAATCCCCAAACCTTTCTTGCAGAGCTTTCCAACAACAGTACAACTCCATTTTCTCCCTTCATGAAAATGATAAGAAACAAAGCCTCCTGAAAGAGCAGAAGAGTCTTTTCCCTTGTTGTAGTGCTTGCTTATATTGCTGCCAGTTGAATGTGCTTCCATTTTAAGTGGGGCTTGTGTGCATTTGCAGAGATACTCAGGAATTTTTTTCTGTTGTGTCAGAATCTGAAGAAGAGGTGGAAGAGGAGCAGGAAGAAAGGCAGCCCTCACCTGAACCTGTGCAAGAAAATGCGAGCGGTGCTTACTACGAAAATCACCCTGTAACGTAAGAAATTCATTTTATTAAATGAAGTTGTTTTTTTAAAGAAAACCAGAATCATTTTGGCTTTTGGTCAATCTGGAGGTGATTTAATGGATTTAGGAAACTATACTAAATTTGTTGTGGATTTATGTTGTGCTGCCTTGTGTTATTCTAAACATGGATTCTTGAATGAAGAGAGAAAGTGGAAGATGTTCTTACATCTTTCAAGTATGAAGTGAGAAGGTAGAAAATGCGTTTATGTATACACTTACAGTAGTCTCTATTTTATAAAATTATACTGAGTTGGTATATTGTAATTCATATTGAACAGATGGTTTTACAAAGGGACGGTCAGCGATATGCTACTCTTTAGATTTGGGAAGCATCTGAAACAGAAAGACTAATTTTGGAGAAGCTGTTCTACAGCTGTATTGGAAGAATAGGTTTGTGCCGTGAGTGTCTTAAAAACTAAACTACATGAAAGAAAAAAGCTTCTTTATAAGAAAAATATATTTTATAAGAAATTACACTTTTTCGAATGCCAGAATGCCTTTTAAGTGCCAGAGCTTACTGATAATAATAATGAATTTACTGAGATCTCTAAAGGAAGGGAGGAGTCTGCTGGAATTCTGGCACTGACTTGCTCAGGGTCATGCAGGAAGGTTTTGATGCTTGATGCTCCCTAGAAAGAACATGAAAATGTGGGATTCAGCATTGGTCATTTAGGCAAGTACAGCGACAGGAGTACCTGTGACAGGAGTAGTGTAGATACAGCTATTTAGAATTTGATAAACTTTTTGGGTGGCTGGAATTGAAAGATAAAGAACTCCAGAGTCCTTACATGAAATACACACAGAATGGAAAATGACTTGCATGTAACTTTCAATAAACAAAACCTGTTAATTCCTTTGGTCATGTACTGCTGTGGCAGTTTGGTAAGGAAGCAGTTGATATGCTTCCAAAATCAGCTTCAATTTATGTGTGGCTTCAATTTATGTGTGTCTTTTGGTCTGTGCTAGTTGTCTTCTAGAAATTCGAGTTGCTGCTCGAGTGTAGCATCCATTCCTTAAAGGGTTTAAATGCCTGCTGTGGTATTGACATTCTGTGCAGGGAATTGCAAAACTTGTCTTCATTGTAGTAGAAATACAGTTTGTTTTCTTTGTATGCAACCAGAGTGGTACAGCTTCAATTCTCATGAGAACATATGTGTATGTTGCTACACACTGTAGCAACTTGACCACAGGATAATACACTTTAATAACAATCTTTACTGTAGTATCATTATTAAAATGTCAGGAAATAGTAAGAAGTGGACTAGCTGCATAAAATGCTTCTGATTATTGTAGTAATGGGATAGAGGAGCCACTAGAAGAACCATCTCATGAACCTGAGCCAGAACTGGAATCTGAAACAAAAACTGAGGAGCTGAAAGCAGAAGTAGAAGAAAAGACCCTCGAAGAACTAGAAGAGAAGTCTCCATCTCCACCTCCTGTAGAACCAGTTTCACTACCACAAGAACCACCAAAGGTTAGTTAAAAATCATATCTGTGCTTCTAGGTAAAAATAGTAAACCAAAACATTTGATTTTTAAATTAGCCTTTTTGAGTGGCCAAACTCGTATCTGTTTTCATTGTCATGCTGTATGAACAGCTTGACTTTAACTTTTAACCTTATTTTTGTTAAAAAAAAATATTTAGCCAAAAAGGAAATAATGTTATTTTAAAATGTTCCTCAAGTCACCTATTGAAAATATAATGTTCTGCTCGTAAAGTGTTTGTGTGTGGTTTTATGCATGTGTAAACCTTTTTAAATGTGGAGCTGAGATGTGTCTAAAAAAAAACACCAACAAAAAAGCCCTCAAAAATGAGAACCACTATTCTTTCATGGGGAAAAAGAAAAGGAAGGAAAAAAAAAGAAAAAAAAGAAAAGACTTAATAATATGTTGACACTTGTGAAGTTACCATCAGTACAGCTTTAAAATGAGTATGAGGGCTTTGCCTGTCCCCCTTAGAGGCAGAATGTCACATCTTGCAAAAGATCATGCACACACCGTGAGTCCTCTGATAGGGTCACACCTAGGTAGCGTGAAAGAGATGGGAGGAGTCGATGAAAACTGGAGAAGTCGCTTGCTAGCTCCAGTGTCGGTCTCCCCTATTTTGCCAATCCTTTTTCTCTTTTCCATGTTAAGTTCTAACTTCTGGCATCCACTTTCTTTCTTTCTGCAGAAGACACTTAATAGCACAGGGTTTTCAGTCCTAGGTTTCGTTACATCGTGGAAAGCAGTGATCTCCGAATGCTGAGGGAACTGAGCTCACTCAAATAGTGCTAGTGAGTGACACATGCTGCATCTATACTGCTGGAGTCCACAGCTGCTTAGAACTGCAAAACCTTCTGTGTCTTGGATGTAATGCTAGCACTACAATGATGTGACAGCTAGATGTGAACCAAAAGTATATTGTGAGCAGATGAGTTTCCCTGTAGGAATGTCAGTGGTTTGCCATGATTAGTCGCCTAGGTTTGTTGCATTTCCTGCAGGCTTTCTCTTGGGCTTCAGTGACCAGTAAAAACCTGCCTCCTAGTGGTACTGTTTCTTCCTCTGGAATTCCACCCCATGTTAAAGCACCCGTCTCACAGGTAACCCATCTGTGAACACCTTGGATTGTCTCATTACTTCTGCAAACTGCTTCAGTTTTTTTTTTTTTTTAATTAACGGATCAAATTGTATGACTTAAATTTCACAAATTAATTGTGTCTTAAATGTTAATGCACTCACCTTCTTGTCGCAACTGAAGGCATATACACTTAACACGTGTAACTGGGTGGTGGTAAAGTTAAAATCTGTTCATATGCAATCAGGAAATCAGAAGCTTTTTTTGACCTATCTTACTGGGTTATGGTTTGATCTGAAAAAAAAAAAAGGCAAGAAACCCCCCAAAATAACAGTTTTCTAATGTGTGTGCGAAAGGGGTATTTCATTGGCAGAAGTGCCCCCAGCAATAAAAAAAGGTTGCACCATTTTGAAGTTTGGCCTTGCAAGCCTTATCCCCTTACAAAAAACCTTTGGACTCCATTATCCATTTATACAGAACCCTGTACCAACTTATGACTGTGTGAGGAATGGAAGGATTCACATTTCCTTGCCAGGACAATGCTGTCTTCCCATTCCTAAGTTTATTGTGGGAGGAGGGAAAGGAGGAAAGAAAGTTTGACCGGGTGATAGCTTATGTCTTACACATGCCAAGTTGGCTTAAGATGATCTGAGACTCTCAATTTAGCTGCCTCCATGTAAGCAAAAAGCCCTTGAAGTTTTTTTTTTTTTTTTTTTTTTTAAAAAAAAGGTTTTACTGATGTTGTATTTCACAAGCACATATATTGTGTAACTCAGGTCCAACCTTTTAAAAAAACTGCAACTTTTGGTAGAGCAGCTGTGTTATTGCAGGTGTTGTTTTTGCAGTGATTTTTTCTCCATTTTTTACTGGCATAGAGGAATCAGCCTTAGATTGCTCTTCAGCCAAAAGCATGTTTCTTAAAAAAAAAAAAAAAAAAAAAAAAAAAAGAAAGAAAGAAAATCTGCCTTGTATGATTATTGCTTTTTGTCCGACAAGGTTGTTGTGAAAATCAGATAATGGCTATGTAATGAGTTGGGAAGCCTGTCTGTTTTCATCAGCTTCAAAAGGGCTTTGAGCATTCAGGTGGTATTTGAGCAGTAAAAAAAAGATTCTTTTTTAGGGCAGAATAGATTTTCCTTAAACAAAACCAAAATAGTTTTTTTTCAGTGCAGTTTCAGTTGCAGAAGAGAGAATGGATTTGTCCTTGAAGAATCATTAAGAATGATCTGGATCAGAGAACAGAATAAGAGTTTCAAGCTGTCCAGTTGAACCTCCTCTGTGTTGCCTCTGCGGCTTGTTTGTGCTTTCCGCCTTTTAGATTATGTTTGCTGTGACTTCATGTTCAACTAATTTTGCATGGAAGTTTTTGAGCAAGAGTGGAAACAGGCAGGATTTTACCTCTCTTAACTCTTTGGAGCCAGGCTAGTCTGTTCTCAATTGTTCCTCTTGGATGCTTCTCAGACGTGGTGTGCAGAAAGCTGTTGAAAAAGGCACCCAGACTATTTCTACTGGGTTTACAAAGCAGCAGCAGTTTATTCCCATTCTCTTGCTTCCATTAACATCTGATGCTGTACGTGGAAACAGGGAGAGTCAATTGCACCAGTGAGTGGGTAGGAGATGCTGTTCCAACCAGTGTCTGCAATGTTATAAAACAGTCAACAAACTGGTTTTCTTAGCCCTCTCCTTGTATAATTCCACTTTTTTGTCCCAATTTTTAACAAATTTAAAGGAGTCCTCCATAGAATAACTCAGAATGCCCCCGAGGACTTCGTAGGAAGTGTCTCAGATACAAACCCATTCAGTTCCTATCTGTTGACAGCTGTGGAGTTAAACAGGTTGGCATTCCTTGCTCAGGTAATCCTTGCTGTTCTTCTCTTTGTGGATGATTAGAAGTTGACACTGAGTGATAGCAGCTTGCAGTGATAAGCCGGATCTTCTCTTTACAGCAAAGAATAGACTTATTTTTTAACCTCGGGATAGCTGATACATGTGAGTTGTCTCAGAGAGCTGGTGCAGAGACTTGCCCTGCACTCCTTAGCTCCATGTTTTGTTCTTTACTGTAAGGGAAAAGCCATTCTGACTTCTACTGGCATTAAGACAGTACTTAACCTGGGGCGGCAGGCACAGTAGTCCTTGACCTTTCCTTGGGCTTGGAAATGGTGATGCAAGATAAGGTTGGTGTTTATACAGGCTTCATTCACCTCCCCACCTAAAATCTCTTCAGACTTTAAATAGATATTTTTTTCTCTGTGAAAGGATCTGTGCGTTAAACCTGACAGTCCTGGAAGTCTGAGGCATTTTAAGGTTGACTCAAATTTTAGGTACCAAAGTTTAACTGAAGAGAGGGATCTGAAAGTTGGTCATATGCTCTTGGTTTAGGCTGCTTAATGCTTTTGTCTTAGTAGCTGCTGTAAATAATGGTGCCTTGTGGAAGCGATTGATGAGGGCCCTTTAGAGAGGTCGTATGTGACTCCCTACCTGGGGGGCAGTATAGCAGCCCCCTGACGTATGCACCTGACCTGACTGCTGGAGTTCAGCTGAGCAGGGGGATGCATTTTGTTGTCTGTGGTGCGGTGTGCTTGGTTTTTGGTATGCATGTGTTTTCTCTGTGGAGAAGCTCTTAAACCTTGAAGGGTTTTCAGACAGACTTGCATGAGACTTGGGAGCCACCTCTGGTCTTGTCTTCGTGCCCCATCCTCTGCTGTTTAAGGGGGTATTCTCTTCCAAAGTGAGTAAAGGCTTGTGGCTGACTATTTTTGCTGTCATTCACGGTAGTAGCAGAAAGAGGCCCATTTCCTTCTCGTTTGGAGCTGTAGGAGAGAGAAGAGACAATATAATCTTTTCTGGCATTAAGAAGGCTTCAGTAGGTTAAGGTTTGTGGCACAAACTCCTTGTGGAAATCCTTATTCTGTGAAATAAAAGTTGCAATTAGCTGTTCCTTGGGTTGTAACTGGCAGCTCTTTGCAGGAATCTTGTGGTGCTGCTAATAATTGCAGTACTTTGGCAGAGCACAGTTTTGCAGAAGTGTCCACAGCTTCAAGCAGCACCAGAGAGCACTGAGGCAGTTTTTCTCTGTGAAGGGGGATAGTAGTGATTAGAAAGCAGCTAGTGGGATTAGGTGCTTTTGGTTAGGCAGAGCGAAAGTATTTACGTGTCAGATGAGAAGTCCAGTGAAAGACAAAGCAGTTTTCTGTTGTACAAGATCTAGAGGACAGACATTGGTAATTTAGTGAATTTTGGCTATTGTTGGGGTAAGGAAAGAGTATTTAATCCTGAGAGCAGGAAGAGCCTAAGTAATGAAGGATCAAAATGTTTGAGCTTCTCTTCAAAGGTGTAATTTTTAATGCAGTGCATATGTGTGAATAAAAGACGCTGGTAATCATACATGAGCCAGAAGGAGGTATTAAGATTTTTCCAGCTAATTCTTGGAGTTGAGATACTGATCATAGAAATGTTTAAGACAAGATAGTGCCTAGCTGCACAGAGATGAGCAATAGAGAACCGAGATATTTATTTGGTGTAAAATACTTGTTTTTTTTCCATGTCTTTTTTCCTGTTAGGAGTTCTCCAGTTGCAAACCGTTGTTTGCCTTGAGTTCCCAAAGGAAAATAAGGGAGAACACTTGACATAAACTCATTTTCAGCGGCAGTCTGATGTGATCTTAACTTGGAAGCTAGTGTTCATCTTTAGGCTTCTATGAATAATTTCAGCTTTCTGAGATAAGAACCAAGTACAGGGGCAGCTTCTGGACTGTTGTACAAAAAATGAATTTCAAAAATGTTGTAAATTGCTTCAGTATTCAACAAGCAGCTTGGAAATAGTTTGGAAAGTTCTGTCTAAAAAAGCTTCAAATTAAATTACCTTTAAAAGCTTTTTTTTTTTTTTTTTGCATGCAAAGGTTTGGCTTAAGATAATTAAGATGTTCTTGTTCTTGAGACTTTCAAGGTTGTCATGTTGTCCTGTGTATCATAACCTCAACATAATGAAAGCTAAGGAAGAATCTCAGCAGACAGTCTGTAGAAAAATTGTTGTTTCAGTTAGTTTTTTTTTTATATATCAGAAATTTGTTTCTGAAGGCTTTGTTTTGTTTTCCTCTTGCTTTTCAGTAGTTGCATTAAAGTTCTACAGCATCCTAGGTAAAGAATCCTTCAGCAGCTCGGATAGGAAATACGATTTCTCCATTTCTTCATGGTTATCTTGGACTACCTGCTAATCCTTGAACTTTGAGCTTGGCAAGAGGAAGTTTTATTTGATCTACATGGGGTTTTAGCCAGAACAAGAGATTCTTGAATTATAGGACGTTGGGGTTCTCAATGCCTGGTCAAACACAGAAAGTTTCTTTTAGCCATGCTTTTGGGGAAATGTTCTGATTCAGAGTTGTTTGCTTTGCACCTCTTAGTAGACAAAATTGAATACTGCAGTCCTGGATTGGTACAGAGGAATTTATAGAGGTGAAAAAAACATATTTCTAAACACATGACATGGATGCATATCTTCCTGCGTTCGTCTCGTGCATGCCACTTACCTGTCTTGTGTGTTTTTTGTTTTTTGATTTTTAACTGGGTTTTTTCTTTAATACATGGTGTTTAATAATGGGTATTTTCCTCCTGTTTCAGCCAAGAGTTGAAACGAAACCTGAAGCTCAGTCTCAACCTCCTCGTGTACGTGAACAGCGTCCAAGGGAAAGACCAGGTTTTCCACCCCGAGGACCTAGACCAGGTAATATGAATTGGTTCATGCTCCTGCTTGGGGCTAGTTAGAGAGATGGGTCTCCTTGAATGGTCTTGCCTGTAACTGTGAACTGTGCTTGGCTGCTGAAGGCAGTTCCTGCTGTCTTCAACTACAAATGGCGAAATACAGCTTGGAGTCCCCACACTAAGATGAGTTGTTGCAGAGATTAGATGTTATTTCCAAGTTTCTGTTCAGCTGAGTTGTTTATTAATAGTCAGGACACTTCCTTATGTGCTTGAAGACCTTTCAGGTGTCTTGATGCAGTTTGGAAAAGCTAATTTTGAAAACTCTTGTTTTTTGAACGTCCTCTACCTTTTGCTGAATCTTGAGAACAAGAGCTCTTACGTGCCTGTCATTATGGCCTGTAGTGCTCTATGTTTCGGGTGAAAACTCTTCTACTGTGCCAGCTCCACATCAGTCAGTCAATGATTTTATTTATGTTACTCGTACAGCGTATCCAAATCCATGGAATAGGCTCACTAGAAAAGCTGCAGGTTACTTTGCACTTGTCAGAAGTGATGTGGAGAAATTAAAGTCTTCAGAGCTGTGTTCATTACTCCTGCGCGGTTATGAGGGGAACCTCTGTGCAGTGTTGGAAACAAAGCGATCTGGTCAAAAGCCCTGAATCCAAAGATGCTGATGGGTTCGTTGTCTGCTGTGGAAAGAGGCTGGAGTTTTAAGGGATAGTATTTGTGAGTAACACCAAGTAGTAGCGTGAACTTGCAAGAGCTCTCAAAGCGCTGCCTGCAGGTGTGGTTACATCACAGCTACTGTCAGCCTCTCCATCGACTCTGGCCAATTAAAATTGCTTCTAATGAGAGGCCTCAGTGAGTGTCCCCCAAGCTTTCTGACCAAGACCGGGTTTTTTAAGTGCCTTTTGCCTTGATTTTCATCAGCACAAGCATTTCCTGACTGTTAGACAGCACCGGAAGGATTTAAGGTGCCAAGAAAGAAGCTTAAAATCTGTTATCTGCTTAATGAACCTTTTGAAACAATCTAGCAAGCTTTTTGCAAACTGACCCATGGGGAAGGAGGGGACTTGTAGGGTGCGTACCTACCCCGAGGTACTTAAAGCACAGGAGAGGTGAGAGTGGCTGTGCTCACCGTGCAAGGTAGGTAACGAGGCACCAGAGGGCTACAGGTCTTTACACTGCCTATTGCTAAGTTATTTATTGCAAGTAGGGTGAGGATGAGATATGCTGGTTAGGCAACGTGTGGTAAGATGTGACCAATTCACCAGTAGTTCTGTTTTCACTAAGCTGGCAAGAATATTAGAAACTTCACTTCTGCTTGGGACAAAATGGTGGAAGATGAAAGCCAGAAGAAGTGACTGTCAAAAATTGGTTTTAATGTGGGTTCAAAATAAAGATGTTGTTGTTGTATTAAGGAATTAGCTGAGAGGTGACTTAAATCCAGATTTTTTTTTTTGAAAATAACATTTTAATAGGTAGCAAGCTGCATTTCCGTATGAATTATGATGACTGTAGTGGGATTTCCCCCTTTACCCCTTGGAAAAAGTCTTCTGGCTTCCTAAACGCAATTTTTAATGTAAACTGTCGGAAGGTGTGATAGGATCCTCTCACATGAGCTTACCCAGTACAGCAGATGTATTAGTTAACAGACATTGGTTTAACCTAACTAGGAAGACTAGATGAAAAGAGAACATAACTTTGTGTTGTTATTACAGAGCAATAGCAACAGAGAGGTGCTCGTAGGTGGCCAAATTGTCAGAACTACACAGAGAGGAAGATCGTATCCTCCCTTTCCTATTGCGTGTATTAAACAGAAGCCCAAGACCTGGGAGTACAGAAGGCTTTGCTCTTCTCAGATGTATTTGTCCAAGTGTGCACACAAGTTCTAACTTTGATGGCGCTACCTCCTTTTTTCTGTTGATGGCAGGGAGAGGGGATATGGAGCAGAATGAGTCAGATAACCGCCGAATAATTCGCTATCCGGACAGCCATCAGCTCTTCGTTGGGAACTTGCCACATGATATCGATGAGAGTGAACTGAAAGAGTTCTTCATGAGTAAGTAATAATTTCAGCTGCAGAGACCAAGAAGAACAGAAGTGTTTTCTGTGTTGACAAGCCACATACCATTCACCCGGGAATGCATGGGGGAGCTTTTGCATGCTGTAACGTGACAGATGCTTTCTGTGAAGAAATAGAGAGGCCCTAGAGCTGCAAGTGTTGGTTTTAATAACTTGGTTCCTTGCTTGTGCCTTCCAGGCTTTGGAAATGTGGTAGAACTTCGCATAAATACTAAAGGAGTGGGAGGAAAACTGCCTAACTTCGGCTTTGTGGTATTTGATGACTCGGAGCCAGTCCAGAGAATTCTAGTTGCAAAAGTAAGTATGAGCACTGGGTAGCTGTTGAAAGATGGAGAGAACACCCTAAAAGACAAATAGGGGGGCTTTTCCTTCCTGCTGCTCTGGGTTTTGCCATTCATTCATCTCCTGCTTGCTCTCTCATCATGAACAGATGTTAGAAAAACACAGTTTTGGCACAGTTGGTCTGTCAAGAGGACTTTCTGACTTACATCAGCTGCGCTAGGGCTCCTCAAGCAGTGACATACTGACCTGAGGTTTTATACCTCAGCACACAGACTCTGTGTGCAGCTGAACCCTCCTACTGCACATCCTTGTAAGCTGAAGACTCGGGACCTAAGCATTTGAAGGGCATTACATAGATCACTAACTTGTGTGTCCTGGGGTTCAGAAGAGGAGCGTGGTTTTTGGCAGCTGAGGAACTGGAGCAGGAAAAGGACAATATTTATTTGTAGCATACGGAAGACAGGCCTGATGGAGCAATTCTTGAATTATTTTTCCATCAGGCAGGAATTGTAGTCTTGAAATGAAAAGACCCAAACAAATCCTTGCTCTTATTTAAGAAACAGTTTTTTTAATCCTTGCATGCCAGATGAATTTTTTTAAAACAAGTTCAATTTTCTGTAGAAATCTAAGGCTCAAGTTGTGTGTCTTGGGGAACTGTTAACACTTCATGTTTCTCCTTTGCACGTAAGTAAAGGTAGGCAGAGGAGAGCAGTGAATGCAGTGTTTTCATATGCCTTGTGTGAATGCCTCTGTGAAACGACGACTAACCTGTGCCTTGAAAACTTTTCCCCATAAGCCCATTATGTTCCGGGGTGAGGTGCGCTTGAACGTGGAGGAGAAAAAGACAAGAGCCGCCCGTGAGAGAGAGACGCGCGGCGGCGGCGGCGATGACCGCAGGGATCTCCGGCGCAGCGAGCGCGGCCCCGGGGGGCCCCGCGGAATAGTGGGTGGTGGCATGATGCGGGACCGCGACGGAAGAGGACCCCCGCCGCGGGGCGGCATGGCACAGAAACTGGGCTCCGGCCGCGGAGCCGGGCAGATGGAAGGCCGCTTCACGGGACAGCGTCGCTGACGTCGCCACTGCGGGCAGACAGGCTGGGCAGTGGTACATTATCCATCGTGTTTGCATTCTTGTTAATTTTTTTTTTTTTGGCTTTGGAATGTGACACAGCCCTTCTGATCGTTTCTTTGATGTGAAAGCATCCTTTGGTTTCCGGTTTAAGTTGAGGTGGACGTTCTTTCCCCAGTTTCACAACAGGAGTCACGCTGTTAATTTATAAATGTAGACTTGGAGAATTGAGGACTGAAAAAAAAAATGACCATTTAAACTATCTGCAACAAAAGTGAACTAAAGGACATGCCCAATAGAATTGAGGTCCTTTCAGTCAAAAAACCCTCTGCTGCACATTTTGTGTAGGTGTTACGGTTTCTGCCTATTACTGTTGGAAACACAAATAGTGCGATTTGTGCAATTGGAGAAGCTTGCCTTTTTTTTCCTTTTTAGAACACTTGGCTCCAAACAAACTTGTGTTTACGCACTCATCAAAATGCACTAATGGGTACTCTGAACTCATTTATATTGACATCTGCAGGAGGCATCGGAGGAAAAAAACCCTTCATCCTCTTCCTCTGACAGAATAGCTTGTGAAATGATGCGGGCATCTGATCTGCTTGCTGTGACCAACATATGTGCACACGCAAACCTTAATAAGACTACAAGTATTTTCCACGAGGAATCCATTTAGTTGTAAATGAAACAACCCAGAGTTTCAAAGTCGTACTCCTGAATACTAAACCAAGTTTGATAGCTCACGTCAGGTTTTTCTATCTGCCCCTCTTGAGTACAGGGATGGCTGCTCACCACACTCCTCCTTCCCCTCTCCCCTTCCCAAGTAAGCATTGTACAGTGAAAATTGTCTTGACTGTATGTGAGTTCTCTGGTAATGTAATAAGCATGATGGTGCCTTCTATGAATACATCATTCCAGTCTTGCTGGTGATTTTGTACAGTATAGTGTATGAATTACTGTGCTGCAAAGCCAATCTGCTGCAAAGCGTTTAAAAGAAATCATTGAAAAAAATGTATTAAAAATTGCAGTATCTTTAAATCAGTAAACATTGCTAAAATTATCATTCACCTTGCTCTTCAATTAACAAGTTCGTCTGTTTTTTTGCAGAGGGGGGGAAGGGAGGAAGAAGGCATCCAGGTAGTCTCCGGCTTGTCTCTTCTCTTTAATCTATGTCAAAGTTAAAGACAACGGAGTCGAAATCTCTCTTGGACATTTCAGAAGTCAGTCAAGAATTGTGACCAATTTTTGCCAGCTTGTAATCAGTAGAACTGAGCATCCTTTATGAGGGTGAGCTTATCAAAAGAGAGGATACTGCAATTTTCAGAGTTAACAAAATAGCAGCTCTAAGTATTTACATTTTCCAGTTGGCGCCTTTTTTTTTTTCTTTTTTAAATTCTTACTCATTTTGCACATAACTCTCAGCTGAAGTTGACACTTCTGTGGCCCTGGACTTGCGGGTAGGAAGGAGACGTCCTCTCCGTGGGTTTTATGTGTGGGATTTGCAGGTTGGGAGCTCTGGAGCGCCTGCCCCGGTGCTGCTGCGCAGCCGGGGAGCGCGGCAGGAGAAGGGGCAGGGGGGCTGCGCGCGGCGCGGCGTGAACGTGTGGCCACTGCCAGCTGCTCCTCAGCATGGAAGACCTCGCCAAAAATGGCCATTTCAAGCAAAAGCAGAGGGGGCACGATGGCAGTCTGCCTCTGGATTCTGCATCACCTGCTCTTTTCTCCTAAGTTGGACAATTTTGCACATACTTGTTTCTGATGTGTTAAGTGAAGGGAAATAGCATCTATTTCTCCCAGACTCGAGGTCTTCTGTGTTTGATGGTAAGTCTTGCACTATTTCCGTACACTTTTTTTTTTTTCTGGGATACATTTCTTGTACTTTCCGTTTTCATATTATAGGCTTTTTGGCTTTTTTTTTCTTATTTTTGGTTCAACTCTTGCATTTTCAGCTGTTACTTGGAAATCTCTATTACTTGAACTGCTCACCACACGACAGAACGGAGGCTTGAAGCCTTCAGTCTCAACTCGCTGTCTTCAGTTAGCAGTTTGCCACCGGCGCGCATTGCGTGGCTTGTCATTTTTTAGTGCTACAGTGTTCTGCTGCCACCGATCTAATTGGCTTGGCAGATGGCACTGGGAAGAATCTCAACAAGAAAAACGGAGTATTAGAAGAGCTACTGAGCCATTCTGCTTTCTGGCTTGCTTCTTGTTCAAATAGCATTAAATAAAAACATCGGGACATCATCCAGAGAAGTTTACATGGTGATAGTTCACCTACTGTACTGTGGACTCTTAAATGTTCTTGACCCTCTTATAGTAAATGTACCTCTTAGAGCAAAGGAAGGGATTCACTGACCATTACTGTTAGTTGCTGATTGTGGATGGTGGGAGTATTTTATCATTACGGTTCTATTTCAACAAACTTGGCTGACCATCTTGGCTTTAGTGGGTATAAAGACAGTGGATTACCATCTTTATTGCTGTAACGTGTCAAGCATTATATGCTAGTAGATTCTAGTTTAATTGTTGCAGGTGGAAAAGTATTTTTACTTTTAAGTTTCCATTCTGAATGTGTTTTGACTAAACATACCAATAAACTACTGATGTCTGCAGCATTTATCAATGTCCCTAATTCTCTTGAATGTAGGTTGCCGGAGAGCATTATTTCAGCCCTTACGATACAGAAAATGGATTTAAAAGGCGATTTTTCTGGCTTGTCAGACCAGGGGAAGCCCTGTCAGCAGTGTCACGTGCTTGAGTGGAAGTGACGGCAGGAGAGTCGCTGAGCTCTGGCTCTCCCTGGCCGGGTGGTCCCCCTGTCTGGGATGCTGCAGTTGGAAAGACAAAGCTGTGGGGAGGCCAGACAGCCTCCCTGTTTGCTCTGGTCTCGCCATGGCTGGCGAGGGTGCCCGGCACCCGGCCTGGTTGGGGTTGATCCTGCTCCAGAGCTGAAATGCAGGAAAAGCCAACGTGCTTGGACTGTGCCGGACGTGGCCAGCAAAACAGTGCTCTTGTTGCAAGCTGATGCAACGGCTCCGCTCGCTCCACGCTCGGGGAGGACGAGGGCTCCCCTTGAGCGCGTCCGGGGTCGGCTCCGCGGCGCCCACGGAGCTGGCGGCCTCAGGGGCGCCCCGAGGGCGGCTGCTGTGAGTGAGGACAGTGGCTGGGAGCTGGGGCCCGCGGGCGGGGGGGGGGATGCGGAGCAGCAGCGTGCCCAAGCGCGCACACGAGGGCGCGTTGGGAGCATCAGCAAGTGGTGCCGCGAGCTCCTTGCTCTTGGCTGTGGTGTCTCGCGATACTGAGGAATGGATTCTCATGCTACAGCATAACCTCTGCTTTTCCCCTTCTTTCTTTTGCTGCCTTTGCCAGGGCCAACGCTGGCCCAAAACACTGGCAAAAGGATGATTCTTACCATGCTTGTAGATGAGTTGCATCCGAGGCAGTTTCAGAGCTGCAGGGCTTTGTTACTCCTGCAGCTGATGGCTGGCTGCTGTCTGTGCAAGTCCTGTGCCAAGCACATGCTCTGCTGCCTGGGAGAAGTGGAATCCGCTGGGAAGCCTGGAAGAAGCAGCAAGGTTATGGGAGCCTGCCTACTGGAAGTGACAAGCAGATCTTGCAGCAGGCCCCGAAGTTGGGGCCTTGAAAACGCTGCCTCTGAGGAGTGGTCTCAACTGCTCTGAGAGGCGCAAGCATGAAAGGAGCCGCAGAAACACCCGCCCCACGGCGTGGGCTCCTGAAGCCCTGGGCCTTGGCGAGGCTTCCTGAGGTGGTGGAGGCCTCCAAACTCGTGCTGCGTGCTGAGCAGAGAGCGCTGGGGAAGAGAGGAAAGGCAAAACAGTATCTGAAGACTGATAAAAACAAACTAGATCTACACAGGTCCCCGCTGAATTTGTAACATTAAGTCTTGGATGCTTAAAGTCTTAAAAGAGCACGTTTTGTTGTTAGCTGTGCTTCAGAGCAATGTGAAAGCTTTGTGAGCGGTCGTGGGTGAGGATTGGCTTGTACAGGCTTTTTATTTTTGTAAGGTTAAAGTGGAATAAGGAACAGGCATCAGCAGCACACCATCAGGGACGGGTGCGTGCTGTTTGTGGAGGAGAAAGTGCACAAGGTGATTCGTAGGAAAGTCTCCATGGGCTGGGCATGGGCATGTGCTGGATGTCCTGGGTTTGGTCCTCCCCGGATGAGCTCCCAGAGAGACAGAGGGAGCGCTGAGGAATCCTCTCTGTATTTCAGGTTACAAAGATCCAGCTTAGAAAGGTGGGTTTGTTTTAAATGACAGTAGAGTGGGTTACCTGGTAAACCTTGAGCAAGCTCTACTTGTCCACGGTTAAAGCTTAGCTTGGTGCAGAGGGAAGAAAATCAGGTCAGAACATGGGCGTAACTGTCAGTCACTCCAGCAGCTCTTGGTCTCAAATGGAAGTGAAAGGTCTCAGCAATAGAGCATCGGATACCTCCCCTCTGGTGCAGTTCGGTTCCTCTCGAGAGTGGGAGCAGCATAAAAAGAAACTAAAGGGCGGCTTTGACAGGTGCTGACCAGCAGCTCTTGTTTCCTGCCTGCCTGCAGGTGCAGTTTTGTCTGCGGGTGTTTCACAAGGGGAGCCCTTGAGCCGAGGGTGCAGCCTCCCTGCGGGGCGCTGGCTGGGCGGGCACGCGGGATGGGGGGAAGGCGCCGGGGGTACCTGCGTGGGCCCTGAGCGGAGCGGGCACTTCCCAAGCCCCCTGCCCCAGCTGCAGGAGGGGCCTCCGGAGCGTCCCTGTGCCCTGGTGCTGCCTTGCAGTGGCATGTACAGAGCCCAGCGCTCCAGTGGCACCTTAGGGGAAGGGCGGGGCAGACGGGGGTCAGGCCGTCATGGAGAGGAGCTCTGGCCCCAAAGACTCTGGGGTCGTTTGGAGGCGCAAAAGGCCTTGGCAAAGTACAGGGGAGTATTTGCTTCATCTTCTGCTTTGCCCTAGTTCCTGCGCACGTTGCTGGAGCTCATTGGGAACCAGGGTGGGAGCGTGCGCGTGAGCTGGGGGCTGGGCCCACAGCTGGGCAGCTCTCCCTGCCTGTCCTGAGGGAAGGTTTGGTGCCTGTGGGGCGTCGCTGCTGCTCCCGTTCCCTGGGGGGCGATGGTGGCAGAGCCCCAGGATGCTGAGGCAGCTCCCAGCATGGCCAGGCCCATCATGGCGTGGCTCTGTGCTGCCGGGCAGCGCTGGCACCGCAGCCAGGACTCGGCCCCTTCTCTTGCAGCACTTCCTGCGCTGGGCTCTCAGGACGGCCCTTGCAGCTTGTGGATGTCTCAGCCATGTGCAAGGGCAGATCATGAA